ATTACTTGCTGTCAATACTCCAAATTTTGCTCAAAATCCGTTTCAGCAATTAAAGCTCGCTTGTATATGTTGATAGATAAAAGTAAGGTCTTCTTTCTGGGGAACCTACCATGTAGGTCATAGCTTCTGAACACTCTGCAGACAGTTTCGGCGTACACTTGTGAGAATAGGGAATACCCACAATAAGACGGCTTTTCTGTGGCTGCAGGTTTTTAATAGTTATCGATTCTTCTATTAAAATCGATGTTTCTATATATTTTTAAACATCGATCAATTAATAAACTGAATCGATTCTCGTTCACCGCTATCACATTAGTATAAGAGAACAAATTTTATATTCCTCCAAAGGTTCTAAACTTAGGCAATCACATTTCGCCAAAATGGGGCGTAGTAAGTTTGCTTCGCCTAAAAAGGTACCAACATAGAAGGAAAACACATGTTACGGTCAATTAATTTTTATTATTTCTTTTTGTCAGGTAATGCAACACGGAGACTTTATCAATCGGATTCGGAAAACTCTGTACTATGGCGTGGAAACAGCGGACACTGACTTGAAAGTTGTTCCATCCCCCCTCGCAGAGTACGCATCTGAGATATTTTCCGAGCCCCATCGAGGACACTCTTTGCATCGCCTAAGTTGTGTGGCCGCTGGTAAAATTCAGGCAACACCATGTTCCCTAATTATGGCTCTCATTTACCTGGACCGCTTGAACACGATAGATCCGGGCTACAGCTGTCGCATTACTCCCCACGAGCTGTTCGTTGTATCGCTGGTGAGTAGGCATATTTACTATGTATGTCTATACAAAATGTATGTATGTATGTCTTCGTAACCTGTTGATTAATAACCTGGTAGAATAATGCACACTGAGTCACTCAACTAGCGTATGTATTCATGTATTTACACATACATATATGTACATACATACATTTGTAATACACAAAGAGTGCACTGTCGGGACTTTAATCGAAAAGTCAAGACAAATGTGATAATTTAGCTTCTATATAAATACATACATATGTATGTCGTCATTTCGTTCCGCTCATTTGTTCAGCTCTTTTTTTTTCCTTTTTCTTTCATATATTCTTGGAATGAATATTTGAAAAGAAAAAAAAAAAGCAATGGCTTTAGCGAAGTTATAACAGAAAAGCGGCAAAGGCCTTAGTTTATGTATATGTACATTTATTTATTAATGAAGTATTAGATTCCCAGTATTTACGTATGTGTTTAACTTTATTATAATATAATACATTTTTACTTATTCTTTAACCTGTAAAGAACGCTGTGGACCGCAATTGAACATATTTTAAAATAAAAATTAAAAGTTTTCCGATTAATATTCGCAGATGATTTCAACGAAGTTTTATGCCGGCCACGATGAACGGTTCTTTATTGAGGATTGGGCTAAGGAGGGAAACATGACAGAAGACAGACTGAAGGAAATGGAACTAGAGTTTCTCTCTGCTGTAGTGAGTATTTATAATGGTTCCAAGCTTGAGTACACCTATACATTTTTGAACTAATTTTTAAATTATGAACATTTCTATCGGCAAGTTCTTGCAATCTAAAATTTCATTTTCTGTCAAAGAACACAAAACCCCTTGTAGGAGAAATGTAAACTATTTATCAGTGTGGACTGCCGTCCACGTATTGACGATGATCACATAAAATTTGCCCTTAACTATATGTATATATACATACATATATTCTTAATCAGCATCAACAGATATAGTCATGTTCGCCTGTTCCACATTCTTTTGAATTTTAAAGATAACTGGTAAAACAACAAATATGCGGACTTACGGTCCGCAAAAAAATAAATAGATTAACTTTTAAAAAGGGGAATATTGACATAGCTTCGTCGACTTTCAACATATGGGCAATTCTCCAGAAAGGTCTACCGCGGCAAAAAACTTGCTTAAAAACTTGTATTTTTAGCATTGTTACATAAAAAATTGGTCAGATTGATCAAGGCTAAAATAATTTTTTCTAAAATAAATATCGAAAAAATCGATGTCAAACATGCGTGAACGCAATTTTTGTTATATTTATAAAAAAAAAGTCATAACAAATGGCATGTTTTGTTTTGATGCCAATTTCTTAAACAAAAGAATTTTGCTTTTACTTTGCTTTCTAATTTCACACAGAGAATGCAAAGAGTCAATATAAAAGGCAAAAGGACATATGCGATCACCAATATTCGTACAGTCTAGTTTAAATTATAGCTTTCTAAAATGTCGCGTGCGACTGGAACTAAAATTTAATTTAAAAAATAACTACTTAATATTTTAAAATCAAACAAAATAAATTATTAAGATAATTCATTGCATAATTCATTAAAAATTATTGTAATACAATTTTTCATCACGTTTCGCTGAAATCAGAGCTTAAACTGGTTTCTTGCAAATGTAACTTCTGTTTTTGTCGCGTGCGAATGCAGTACATTTTACTGAATATCTTGAAAACGAACAAGGGTTCAAAATCGATCTTGGCACCAATTATAGTGCTAACCAAGAGCTATACGTAAAAATTTTTTTAAATTAAATAAGTTTGAATACGTACGAATGTCTCATTCGACACCAGAGAATTGCCCATATATGCATATTAATATTTGCTATTTAAAAAAATAATGGTTTAAATATTATAAAAATCTAAGGGCTATATGAGAAGCTAGATAAATCACAAATATGATTTTCGGTATATTTATTTTTAATGAACCGGAATAGATTGATTTGAAATTTTATAATTGGAAACCGCAAGGCTATTCAAGCCGTCATATTCTACATCTAAACACTCGTCTAAGGGCATCTTAAGCATTTTAATCTGACACTGTTTAAAAGATATTTATTAAACAAGATTTTGGTAGGTCTTTTCCAAATTGCAACTTTTTATACTTAGTACCCATTGGGTGCCAGCTTACCGACCCACAAAGAATATATATTCTTAGTCCTGTCTATGTCCGCTTGTCAGTTCGAGTATATTAATAACGCTACAAGTTGAAACATCTCTCTTCATATAATGAAAGGTATCGTCTGAAGATTATCTTCGTATCATTCATATAGGTTCAAAATTTGTAGAATCTGACAGACGAACATTGAAAGATAAACTTGGCTGTTGATGCTAATCAAGAATATATATACATTATAGGTTCAAAAATTACTTCTTCACTGCTTAGCAAACTTCTGGTAAAAATAAAAATGAGTTGCAAGGGTTTAAGTTCGAAGATACTAAACAATTTTTTTTCTTTCTGTTCAGGACTGGAATATATACATTTCTAACGAGGACTTCTTTGCCAAATTGAACAGTGTGGAAAAAACGCTGGCGGAGAGGGAAGGATTACGGCGAGGCTGGCTAACGTACAGTGAGCTAATCCAACTGCTTCCCAGCTTTGAGTGGACGAAATTCCTGGCAAACAGCTTTTCCGTTCTGGCGCTGAGCTATGCAGCAAGTGTGATAACATTAGCGAGTGCTTTTTTTATAGCCAGCCAGGTTCCAGGCACAATGTGGCACCGCCGACCATCTACAGCTTCACCTTCGGTAACCACTCTGACTCTTGGGGACGCAGCGGGTACATCAACGGCTTCAACTTCATCGCAACCGGGATCTGCTAATAATTTTGATAACGTCTCTGATGTTTCGTGCAACGAAAGCTGGCATGCGCTGAACGTTGAAGAGGAATTGTTGAAACACGAACGAGTGTATTGCACCCAGGCAATACCAAATGAGACTGAGTACACGCACCGAATATTCCAATTCTCCGTTCCATATTTACCGTTAAGAAGAAACAATTTCGATAGTGAAATTTTGCAGGACAGTACTCAAAACTACTGGCTCAATATTAAATCACAGTATAGTAGCGATACCTTAAAAGAAAATTTAAATTATTTCATAACTGATAGTAACCGAATCTTGTCGAACTTACGCTGTCAGCAAACAAGAAATGCTTCTATGTTTTGGCAACTGCTTACCGAAGCAATGACTAATTCCTTATTGGTTTTGATTTAAAATAGTTGATCTATTTATATTGTGCATCTTAATACATAAATAAAGGTTCAATGACTCAGCAGTGCAGTTAAATATACTCATTTTTAAAATCATATTTTTTTAAACTGGTCACTTTAAAGCTGATTTAATTTTATGTATTCTGTATGAATAAGCTCTCTAACTGGAAAATTCAAATTTTATTGTTGTCTACTTTTTAGTTCACATGTATTTTCTTATTATACCCTTGCAGGGTATTATAATTTCAGTCAGAAGTTTGCAAAGCAGTGAAGGAGTCATCGCCGACCATGTAAAGTATATATATTCTTGATTAGCATCGACAGCCGAGTCGACCTAGCCACGTCCGTCTGTCCGTTTCTACGCAAACTAGTCTCTCAGTTTTGAAGCTATCTCAATGAAACTTTGCTGTTAGTCTTCTATACACTCTCACTCGTATATGTGTCGGAAGGGGCCAAATCGGACGACTATATCATATAGCTTCCATAGGAACATAGGAAATTTGGGATATAGCCATTTTAAAATCATATCATATTCTACAATTTTGTGTAAAATTTTATGAAAATCGGACTACTATATCATATAGCTACCATAGGAACGATCGAGGAATTAATACAATTAAAAATCATAACATTTTCAGTTTCAAATGATTTTTATCAAATTTGAGATATAGCCATTTTATATTTTTCTACAATTTTGTGTACATTTTATAAAAATCGGACTACTATATCATATAGCTACCATACAAAAGATCGTTAGATATAGGGGAAAATGCAAAACTGTTAATGTAAAACTGTAAATATAATATGTATAGGTTATGGAAATGAAAGCAAACAAACAACTTCATTGTTTTTTAACATAAGTATATATAATTTATATTATATTAATATTTAGTCATTGAAGTTGTATCTGCAAGGGTATATAAATTTCGGCGGGCCGAAGTTAGCTTCCTTTCTTGTCAATTTAAGAGTAAAGCCAATAGGATATGGTTAGAATTGTATAGAGGGCACAAGTTTTTAAGCACGTTTAATAGGCACTTTTCAGTGTAGCTTGGTAAGAGGACAGTCCTTAACTTATTGATTGTTTTTATCTCAATATAAATACATATTTGGTAAACTATTATACATATAAATTAAATTTAAGTGAATTGATTTTCTAAGACTTTGATTATAGTTCTTTATAATTTAGCTTGGCCCATTAGGCGACTCACAAATTTAAAGAGTTAAAATCTAACCAAAAAAATTTTTTTTTCCCAAATACGTGTTTACGTAATACATGACCAGATCGTAGAACTTTTCATTCAAATTGACGAAAAACCAATAAGAATAAATTATTTAAATTGCATGTTAGGCAATATAAAGTATTTTAAAATAAAACCATCGTCGTCGATTTATGATAACTTAAAATAATGCCGCATCTAATTGGCCAAAATAGCCCAAACCTCTAGCTTTCTTTAGTTTAGTCAGTCGCAGCATCTAGCTTCTCTGACGGTTTTTCTTCCATGAACCATAAGGGACACATTCCAAGCAGACATCCACTGTAATGCCAACAATACGACCCTGGAGGAAAGAGTTTTGTTTTAATTATTAGCTTATTTCGATGGCTCTGCAGTTTGACCTACAATACTGGATGATCGCTTGCTGGACTTCAGCTCGAATTGGGCTGGTGTCAACTTGGGCTGCTTCAGGCCCAATATCTGGCAGCCGTTTTCAACATAGGTGGCCATAGTGATGCCTAGAATATCGCTTATGGTGTTACCAAGGCCAGCTGCCGCCATTGTTGACAGCGTTATAAAGTGACCCAAATAGTATTCAATGTATTCGCCCTAAGAAAGCAAACGTTTGTTTAAAATTATATCTTAGTGTAATCTAATTATAATTAGAGCATACATACCGCCATTATCATGATAAAGTTATCAAGAAACCCGAAAGCGATAAAGGGAACAGCATTCACAAAAAATACTAACAAAAGTTATTGTCGAAGTAAATATGTATTTATTAATGAAATCCTTATTTGACATGTTACTTACTACTGTATAACTGGCTAGCTGTGGGAGCTGCTGCAGATTCGACTGGGAACAAGAGAAAAGTATGCATTTAATGAAGAGCAAATATTGTAGTGTAATTTGTCTCATTAGAAAACATTTTTGCAGAGGGCTTTGGGTTAAGTATTTGCTGATTCTCAGTCATTACCATTTTTCTTCTCAGCCAATCATCGGGCACAGCACAAAATGTCCCGGCAATAACCTGACCCAACGCGGGCTTGTTTGATAGTCGTCCGAAGCGAGTGCGCCAACTGCCAACGGCCAACTGACCTAAGAAAACCACGACGATGGTTTGATGTATGATGATTGTGGTTCAGACAGGAGTGTTTGTTGTTCCAGTGTGGTTATTGTTTATCATTAGTGTACAGCGATGTAATCAAAATTAAGTGGGAAAAATGTAATCATTAAATTAATCAATAAATGTGTTAAAACATACAAATGCGATAAAATGTTTTTTTTTTCTTTTAAATTCCCATCTAGGACAGCAAGAATAATTATTTGGCCACCTTGTCTGAAAACTGATTAGCACCTTCTATGGGTGTGGTCACAGATAGTAATCTCTAGTACTGCAGTTTGATACCCGCCCAACGCCGTAAGTAGATCAAGTAGAAATATTTGCAAAGAGAAGCAGCCGAACACCAGCACCTGGAGGTGGCGGTGACTACTAATGCAGTATTAGGTACTACTAGTAGACACTACTCATGATGAGCAAATTAGGCCCGTTCCGACATATCCTACCTGCAATATATAGAAGAATATCCAAAAAAGTTCTATACAGTTTCTAAAATTGAGAGACTAGACGGATATGACAACTCGGCTGTTGTAACTTATCAAGAATATTTATACTTTTAATGTCACTATATGTCTCCATGCACACTTTTGACTAAAATTAAATTATTTTTGCGGAATTCAAGTTCAACTTAAGATTTTTTGGTCGTAATAAGAGATAAGCCAATCAAAAGGTAGAATACTAGGGGACATTTATACATACAAGGGTTTTTTTTTTCAAAGTCGATTGGTTCAGGTGAAATAAGAGAGAAAGTGGAAAATAATTCAATTGGAACTCTTCTGGCATTATAATTGTACTAAAAGATAGAACACAGGGAAGAAGGCACTTTGTATAGTATATACAATTGTTAAATACATACATATTTAGTGTTAAGCATCAACACCCGATTTGATCTAACCATCTTTGTCTATCAGTGTCTACGCAAACTATTTACTTAGTTTTGGAATATATTGAATAAAACATGTCAGATAATTTTCATAACTACATATACATATGTGTTAAAATCGTTAGAAGACGTTTTACTATAATTCAACAATAACAAATTTTGTCAAAACAAAGTAATTAGCATTTTTAATGCTTTCCGTTCGAAAAATATTTGCACACAATGTGATGATAACAAATCATATCTGTTGCAGGCAATCGAAGATTATTTTAAAATTTTCTCACGCCTATTTCACAATTATAATAAAACCGAAACGCTGCTATAACAATAAATTTTTGTGTAGTTTTGGGTTTAATAAATAATGATAAATAAATCCTTTGCAGATTGAAGAATAATATAAAATGGCTATATCTCAAATTTAGTGAAAATATGTTGAAAAATAAAAAGATATAATTTTTTTTTTTTGGAAAAATTTTCCGATCGTACCTTTGTCAGCTATATGATATAGTCGTCCGATCCGGTCCGTTCCGACATATATAAGAGTGAGAGTATATATAAGACTAACTGTAAAATTTCATTCAGATAGTTTCAAAACTGAGGGACAAGTTTGCGTAGAAACGGACATGGCGAGATTGACACGGCTGTTGATGCTGATCAAGAATAAATGTACATATGTATATACTTTAATGGTCGGACTCCTTCACTGCGTTGCAAACTTCTGACTGCAATTATAATACCCTGGAAGGGTATAAAAATAATTATTGGATCTGGTGCAGTCGTTTTTTGAATGTTTAAGTAAAATCATATAATAAACATTTTGTTTGTTAAACATTAAAGTTAAAATGTTAATCAAAACCCTAAAAAAAGGCAGGGGCATACTTGCTTTGCGGAGACGACTAAGGTCGTTAGTTTGAACTGATCCGCAGGTCCTTTCACATCGTGGGTTCGAACCGAACCGCCGGTCATTTATAATTATATTACTATTATAATTTATTAAAACCCATGTTAAAGAAAGGAGAAAAAAGTGGTCATAACCACACTAACTCCAAACATTCTAATATACATATTTGTGAAGATTATATAAAAACTAACAAAAAAGAAGTTAACAAATAATTTAATCAGATTCGTTTGCGTCACTAAAGCATCTAGCAGCCTTAAAAATAAAGACTTACATGCAGAATCCGTGCAAAAACGAATCGGTTGATGAATTTCATCAAAAAATATATTTATTATAGAGCCGGAAACGATCCTACACTGTATATAATTTTTTTCAGAACCCACCCACACTGTGTGGTGCAATATCATATGAATATCCATATGTACGTATTCACATACATGCGTGTTTGTTGGGGGCGGTTCTTGTATTACTTCAAGTTTGTCAGCCGATGGAGTTTGAAATGGAGAAAAAAAAATAATACAAATAAAAAAACAATCGCGGTCATGGCAATTAATCTCACAATGTTAATTTTTGAAAAAGGCCATACTATATTATTTCACAGCCCAGCGAGTATACGAATCGGCTATAAAAGCTTGAGCACCCCATTTGGAGAGGTCAAGTTTAGTCGAATTGTGGAAGCATAAGCCTAGCAACATGCAACGGTTACCGATAATTTTCTTAGCAGTCTTGCTTCTTAGCGTCGCCATTTTAGTGCGCGGCTTCGACGAAAAGGAAGCCATGGCCAAGCTAATGGAGTCTGCCGAGTCCTGTTTGGGCCAAGTCGGTGCTGCTCAAAGCGATTTGCAGGACCTGGTTAAGAAACAACCTGCATCCACCTATCAAGGCAAGTGCCTGAGGGCATGTGTAATGAAGAGTTTTGGGCTACTCGACTCCAGCGGCAAGCTGGATATCGAGGCCGGCCACGAGAAAGCAAAACAGTATACAGGGGATGATCCCACCAAGCTTAAAATCGCCCTCGAAATTGGCGACACTTGTGCTGCCATCAGTGTGCCGGAGGATCACTGCGAGGCCGCAGAGGCCTACGGCATTTGCTTTAAAAGCGAGGCCACCAAACATGGACTAATGTAGACCGACCTGCAGCCCCCAACCTGGATCAGCGCTGGTCCACTCCCAAGCCACGCACGTACTACGTATGTGCTTACAGTTTATAAGATTGTTCAAAATGAGTTGTTAAGTGAATTAAAGGCATTCCAAAAATTACTCACTCTCGTATAGTTTCTTCTCCTTATCGGCTTCCATCTTTCCCAGTGCACAACGGAGATTGCTGCGTTCTTCTTCGTCCAAGTTACACAGCAACTCCATAGCCCGCTCCGTTGACAGGTGCGTGCTAAACTTTGAGTAGTTTCTATGTGCGGGCGTGTAGTCGGAGAATGACGACAGGAACAACAACTGCGACCTAAATCTTGAAGATATCATCGAGGTCTCCCTGTAGCGCATTAGCTGTCTCAACGCAGCATAATATTGTCGCATTTTAATTTCGTGACGTCAAACACAAACGACAACCTTGCAGAGGGGCTATTTAACAGTATACAATTTTATGTATCGAGACGTCGTTTGGTGATGTGTTGAAAGTAAACAGCTGATTAAGTGAGGTGTACTAGGTGAAAAATAAATAATTCACCTTCGCGCCCTTTTTTAAAACGAAAAATAATTAAATATGGCTGAGTTTTTTGTGTTTTTTTATTAGTTTATAATTTTTAAGCGTTTTCTATAAAATTCCGTGAAACTAGCACCTGTTTGCTTATCTTTCAAATATACACCAAGTTATCGATTCAATTTATTCGATATGTCAAGATATCGAATAGAATTGACTTAACTTTTTATCCGATACTTGTAGTATTTTTAGATCGTCAGTCTAAACTGTCGTTAGATTGCAGTTGAAAAAATCGCTTTGATTGATTATTTTGTTTTTGGAACATTAAAACATCGATATATCGACAGCACCTTGTCAAATCTCAAAACGACAAATTTCAAACGATAATGTCTAGGCTATTAGATTCCTGTGGCTTACAGTAGTCTCTGGGGATTTACCTGTCATGTATCACTCACAAATTGCTCGCTTCTTAGTATCCTGCCGAATAAAAACCGAGCAATTACCAATTCTAGTATATTTTGATATTAAGTTTTCCACTTGAAACATTATTTCAACGATCTTAGTATAATACTAAAACTAATGCCCACCGGTTTGAACAGGGTATAAGCGATCCAATGGCTTAAGTTTAAAAATCGATACCCTTTACAATAGAAGGCCCTACAATTAGAAAAATCGCCTAGACGGCATCACTGATTTAATTAACTCAATTTTGTTTTTATATAAATTATTTTTAAAACTTATTATGTCCAGGTTTAGTGGTGCACTACAGCTGACAGATATAGACGACTTTATTACTCCCTCTCAGTTAAGTACACTAGTGATTAGAGTGTAAGTCGGTTATTTGTATCTAATGACCCCGTCTCTATCACAGGAATGTATAAAGCCAGTGACAATAGATAAGACAAATTCAAAAACTGGGGCTAAAATCACAGTGGAAGGAAATGGTTATTATGAGAAAACTGAGGTTGGTCGGTGGTAACGCTAGCCGCTTAATCTAATTATATATTTTTATAATGGTTACCTTATGTATTTTAGAGCGGCAAGAAAAACTTCAGAAGTTAGAAATTACACTTCAGGACTGTTTGGCATGCTCTGGCTGCATAACATCTGCCGAGGGTGTGCTAATTACGCAGCAAAGCCAGGAGGAACTGCTCAAGGTGCTAAGGGAAAATACCAAACTGAAAACAATTGATGGCGCCAGCGAAAAGGTACAAACAGTCGTTTTCACCATATCTACGCAACCCATTTTAAGCTTGGCAAATCGTTATCAAATCGGAGCAGAGGAAGCTGCACGGTACCTGTCCGGCTATTTCCGAAGTTTAGGTGCCGACTATGTGTTGTCCACCAAAGTAGCCGACGATCTGGCGTTGCTTGAATGCCGGCAGGAGTTCGTAGAGCGTTACCGCGACAATGAAAATCTGACAATGCTGAGCTCTTCGTGCCCGGGTTGGGTGTGTTATGCGGAGAAGACACACGGCAACTTCATACTGCCACATTTATCTTCAACCCGGTCACCGCAACAGATAATGGGTGTTTTAGTAAAGCAGTATCTGGCCGAGAAGCTGAATGTTGCTGGGTCCCGCATTTACCATGTGACCGTGATGCCCTGTTACGACAAGAAGCTAGAGGCTTCACGAAAGGATTTCTTCAGCGAGGTGAATGCGTCTCGAGACGTTGACTTTGTAATTACTTCAGGTAGGAACTAAGATGTAACTCTTGTGTAATTTTATCTCAGATTTATATACAAAATCATGTTATACAGTTGAGATTGAACAGATGTTGACAGAGGATGAGCACTCTTTGTCGCAGCACGAGGCGGCAGATCTGGATTGGCCTTGGTCTGATAAGACGCCTGACTCCATGGTATGGGCGCATGAGTCGACGCTTTCTGGTGGTTACGCCGAACACATATTTAAATATGCTGCAAGCGAGCTCTTTAATGAAGACATGCCGTCCGGAGATATAGAATTAAAACCGGTCAGGAATCGTGACTCTTTGAGATTGTTCTTGAGAGAGATGGCAAAGCCGTGCTGAAGTTTGCCATTGCTAACGGTTTTCGCAATATTCAGAATTTGGTACAAAAATTGAAGCGTGGTAAAGGAAGCAATTATAATTTGTAGAGGTTATGGCTTGCCCTTCCGGCTGCATTAACGGTGGTGCTCAGGTCCGACCAACCACTGGACAGCATGTGCGGGAGCTAACTCAAGAGCTCAGGCAATTTTATAATAAGCTGCCTCGCTCCGTTCCCGATAATGACGTGTCAAAGCATGTATACAGCAACTTTCTGGACGGCGGTGCCCACACAGACAAATGTCACGAGCTGCTACACACTAGCTATCATGCTGTCGAGAAACTCGGTACAGCTCTAAATATTAAGTGGTGATAATGTAATCTATTTTCAACGTTATTTTGAAGTTTATTATATAAAATGTTTTCTGCCCTTTATGATTCTGCGGTAGTCAGTGTAACGCATGATTTTGTGGAGGGAAATCATCATTGCGCATGTCCAACCTATTTGAGAGCACTTGCGATTGGAAGCGGCAGCCGCAACGGCTGATTCCACTGGAATGCGGCTTGTTTCTTCCTGCTGCTTCTAACTGCAGAAGGAGCACTTCTGGCCTGATTGAAAAATCAATCGTTTGAAATAAGTTTCCTTAAAAACAAAGTTATATTCGTTGACATTTGTTGTTAAAAAGAGTCAGAGGTGGTCATAAAAAAAATAAAAATAAACAGGTAGGGCTCATTGTAGGCTTTGCGTAGCTAATCCGAAATTTTATAACATTTAAATTTCATATTTATTTCTTGTAATAAGATTTAATTGCTCAATTGTAGTACACACTACGATTGTAGGACTATTTGGATGTCGAGATGCCATCCCCGTCATCACATCCGTATGGCCTGACAGTGGACGATATAGATATACGATATAGCAATATGGAGCAGCAACTGCCACTATACACAACTCTGAAGCCC